CCCTCCCCCAACCCCCCATGGGCCCCCTTCCCTCTCCGCTCCCCATGGAGGTTAGGGCCCTCCATGGGGGCACCCCAAATTCCACAACATCATCCTGGGCTGGTTGGCTGGGAATTTTAATCTAGAAAAATGTCATTTTACATTGAGGAAAAAAAAATTTTTTTAAATGCCCTGATATTCTCTCCTTCAAGGTCTTTGAATTTTTTTTTTTTTCTTAGAGTTCTTTGTTTGTTTGTTTGTTTTGAATTGGTCATACAAATACAACTCATGTTTTCTCTGTGTGCAGTGGTGTGTGTGCATATGTGCAAATGTCTGTCTACACACATGCGAGTATGTGTAGGTCAGAGGTATGCATCATTTGTCTTCCTCAGTTGTTCTATGTCTTGTTTCTGAGGTGGGGTTTCTCACTCACCGTGGAGCTCTCTGATTTGACTAGACTATCTGTCTAGCAAGCCCCTGTCTCTGCCTTCTCAACACTGGGTGGCAGGTGTGTGCCAGGCCTGGCTTTTCATGCGGCTTCTGGGCATCTGAAATTAAGTCCTCATGCTTAATAGCAGGCTCTACTCACTGAGCCATCTCCCTAGACCCTGACACACTTGGTTTTATTTATAGTAATTCTTTATTAAATATGAATAGCATTATAAGAATTATAGGATGTTTTTCTCTCCTTCACTTTCTTAATTTTTACACTGAAAGATTTTAGAGAATATATATTAATGAGGCAACGAACTTTTGAAGGCCCCCCACAGTATGTACCAAACTTGAGTTTACACACAGGAATCCATTTGCATTCTAAAGGAGATTATAAATAAAGGAGAATCCTATTTAACCAAACTATTGACCCTGGTACCATCCAGTGTACAGATTATATTTTTCTGATACTTCTAAGCTTGACTCTGTATTGAAATAGTTTGGAGAACTTTAAAGCAAAATACTTGAAAAGACTCTATTATACTTTTTGTTACAGTCATTGCAATTCTATCTGGAGGGTTGGGATTTAATGCCAGGCTCTGGAGGAAGGGGGGTTGACTAGGAATTGCCATGTGTCCTGTGACTATTATGTGCTATTTCCTTTACTGAAAGCAAATTTCACAATAGGGCAGATCCACAAGTGATCTTCCCACCGTGTTTGTCTTAGCAGGGCAGCAGCAAGACTGATGCTTTATTATTCTACCATAACTTCAGCACACACTGTCTTCCTGATGAAAAGCTGGATGTGCTAAAAATTCACGGATTTCAAAAATCCAATTTATTTTTTAGGATTTGCTCTCACTAATAATTTTTTTCTATATCCCAGTTATAGTTATTTTGTTTTCCTCTGGGAGAAAACAGAATTTTAACTGTACTGTGAAACCATAATTAAATATATTTTCAGACAAAGAAGAGTAATCATGTATATACAAAACTTATTAGTTGTAGAAGCCAAGACTAATTTATATTCTAAAGTCAAACATCAAGACAATACCATAGCATCACCAGCTAAGGAATGTCTCTCCACTAATCACTTCCTAAGCAACCTGTGCAGCTGTGAGGGTCTGTTTGCTTAGGTGTTTTCTGATTTGGAGGGAGGGGCATCAGGAGGGAGAGTGGATCTCTGATGTCACTGGATCAGCCTCGCATCTACAGTGCTTGATTTCTTATTGGCTGTGTGGAGATAGCAGCAGGGCAGGAGGGACAGAGAAACAACAAATGCTGGGCAAGAACAGCACCAGCAGACAGAACGGCTTGGAGGAAAGAAAGCCCATGGTAGAGGCTCTTCCTCGATTCCTGCTGCTCTATTCCACACAGTGCTGGGATCCTCAGGCCCATTTGCTGCAAGACCCCAGGTTCTGGGGGCTGGTTTCAGAGTCACTTTTGTGTCCTAAGTAGCCATGGTCTGAATATTTTGTGAAGCCAGAAGAGGGTGTGGAGAACAATGAGAACAGCCCTGAAGAAGAACCCCACATGGTCTGCATTAAATGGCAGCCACCTTTTATCATGTGCATGCTGATATCTTACCTAACCATGGTGAGAACCTGGCCGACAGGCCTTCCTTGCTATCCTCACTTTTCATGCACACACCCATATACATATATAAACATTTATACATACATAATACATAACTATGTGTATACATATATATGTGTATGTGTGCCATTTTCACCAGGTAGACCCCAGGGATTAAGGTCTTCAGGCTTGCCTGCAACCACATTTACCCACTGAGCCATTGCACTGGCCCTGAATGTCTTCTCAAGGATGCTTGTATAGTGAATGGCCTTGGGGTGTAAAGGTACTGACTTCCTCTAGCATAGTCACCCTTAGTGGAGGCAGTTTTGTCTCTAGAGGGATGTTTGGCTATTTGTGGGGATGCTTTGTTGTCAAACTTGGTGAGTTTTATTGGATCTAGTGAGCAGTGTCAAAAGTGCCACTAAATACCTGTAATACACATAAGAACCCTCCCCAACAAAAATTATGTGGCCTGGAATGCCAACAGTGATGAGAGGGCCAGTTCTGCTTATTGTCCTCTAATAACAAAGGAAATACCTGCTGTGGTTCAAAGCTCAGGACGGTTTACTGTCCATCGTAAAGGTTTAATGCCATTGATTCACATACTTAAGATTGACCAAGAAGACAAATTTTATGTTGTGTATATTTTTTCATAATAAAAGTAATGAAAAAAGATTTGGGTTCCCCAAGCCTGGAGCTCTTTTTCTGACAGGCAACCCACAGAGGGTATCACACAGCCCTTTCTGGTGTGGGGAAGGGTTTGAGCCACTGTCAATACTCGGGCTGTCTCTGTTGCTGTGAGCAGCAACTTGTTTTTGACCCTAGCACCATGAAACTCTGGCAGAGTAACATGTTTGCTGGAAAGGAGGCAGGACCTCAGGTTGTTCATATCCTTCTGGCGTTTCTAGTACATATGCTCATGTGAGGGCATGCTATGGGATAGTATATCTATGTCAAGGCGAATTTCAGCTAAGAGTCAGAGTTCTGTTCCTGGATTCAGAGTCGTTTTGTTAGTCAGAGACTAGTTCCTTTCTATTGCTATGACTATAGCATCTGCCAGGAATGATTTCAGTCCATTGTTAAATGGAATGTAGAACAGAATTCTGGTTGTGTATGATGGACCAGGAGTTAGAGAGCAAGGCCAGAATCTGGGCCCACGCTATAACCTTCAAAAGCTTCCAACAGCAAGACTCTACCTACTAAAGGTCCGGTAGCCTTTCAGAAGGCGCCACCAGCTGGGGAACAAGCATGCAAAGTACAATCCTTCCCGGGGGGAAGTTTCAGAGTCTAGCCATTACAATGGTGGCACTAGCACTGCTTTGAAACTCACGGGGAGACTCATATATCTTGGAAGGCCAGACCAAATGACTTTTAATAGGGGAGAATTTAGGACTAATCAGAATAAGATAGGCTGGGCAGTGGTGGTACATGCCTTTAATCTCAGTATCCAGGAGGCAGAGTCAGGCAGATCTCTGAGTTTGATGTCTGCCTGGTCTACAGTGTGGGTTCCAGGACAGCCAAAGCTACACAGAGAAACCCTATCTTGAAAAAAATAATAATAAGGTCAGATATTTTAAAATTTAATTTTTGCATTATATTTCAAATCAACCTAGGGTGGACAGACAAGAACCAACTTCCCTGATACCCAGCACTGGTGACCTATGTGCCACTGTGAGCCTTCAGAACACATGCTTTTCCAAAGTTGTGAGGCAAGAAATGAGTCTATTTCATATTGTTGATTAAATTCCCCTTAGCCATTAAGGACTAGGATATAGAGGCCCTTCCATGTGAGAGACACAAGCAAATAAGTACCAGTGAAATACAAGCAGATTCTCAGAAGGCAGAGATGTTAATTGACTCTCTATCATCGCAGGATGTGTGGCGTGGATCAGGGGTTTAGGTTGTTTGATAGCTTCACCCACCAGTGCATAACTGAGTTTGAATAGGAAAATAACGAGAATTTAAAAATGCCCTTATGCTGAATTGTTTTCTTAAATAGTGTAGCAACCACCATGCTGGAGCAGACAAAGTTTTATTTTGTTGTTGATGGCATATGTTATTTATATGCATTTATTTCACACACACATATATATTTCAGTTGAAGTTGTGCATATAACATTTTCAAATCAACCATTTCGACAAGGGTTATAGCAGAAAGCACACCTCCTCACCATACCTCTCCCCATCTTTGTTTCTATTCCTGGAGTAACCAACTTAAATTAACTTATTTCTCATTTTTCTAAAATATATAATACCTCAATTTAATACCTCTGAGGTCTTTAAGTCTTATGTGAGGGCATGTGGCATTTTAATAATTTTATTTTATAATTTGTTACCTGAAACTTCATGGAACTGATCCCTTGATTTTATTTTTTACAATTTAGATGTTGTTTATTAAACCTTCTATCTAATGGATGTGATCGTTCATCCCTCCTTTTTCTTATTTGCAGTAAGTCAACACAATTTACAATTTCATGGATGTGACATCGTCCCTTCTCCAAAAACTGATGCTCTGCTATTTAAAACTTCATTTTTCTAGTGTGGTTCTTATGAGTTTCTTTTTTGCCTTTCTGTTTTGTTTTCTGCCGTGGTGCTAGGGAGATTTTTTTTTTGTGTGTGTGTGTGTGAATTATTAAGGACAGTGCATAGGCACAGCTTGTCAGCAGAGATCCAGGGCTGGGTGATTGGTTTGCAGTATTCATGTAAAGAGCCTCTCTATGTGTTGGTAGTTTTAGCATTGTCCTTCTGCTT